TCGAAATTCGCGTATTTTTCTGTATAGTTCTGTTAATAAGAAAAAAGTTTTAGCTTTAGTATTTTGATTTAATAGTATTGATTTAATATTAAATTTTTTCAATGGGTTCGATTATTCACTAAACTAACTCGAATCCACTTTGTGCATTTAAAGTTTCCCCTGTTCATAAATGTCTCGATTAAAGCTCAGGAACAATCAGCCGCAGCACGTCACAACACGTGTAAAGTGCTGGTATCCGTCGAACACGTGACAATGAAGGGAGAAGATCGAAATGGTATTGCCCCGAACAGAATTTCATATAGTCATCAATTGATTGATGGTACTACACGAGCTGCATCTTCAGCTGATGGTCAAATATTTTATTTGTTGGATGAAGTCCCAACTACTGTAAATTATGTGGGGAATAACAATGCACGTTTTTATAGTGGTGCGAGTTATGCGGGCGAAATAATCGTTCAACCCTAATTCGAAAAACCGAAAAGTATGTTGAAAGAGATTATATCGTGGTACTTACAGTAATTTTCACATCTTACAAAAAATTTTATTCTTATATCGATTTCATTGTTATATAAATTTAACCTTTTTTTGTTTTGATTCCTTGTGTTTATTTTCGTGTGTAAAAAAAGAAATTTTCGCTTATATTGTGTTCTCTCTCTCTTTTTCTTTTTTTCATTTAACTTATTTTTTTCTTATTCATAATGCGGAGGGATGGAATTTTTGGTTGGAATGGTTGAAATCGACCGACAACGAACAATTTTCGAACAAAAAAAAAACATTCGATTTTTTCAATCTACCAACCTTTTATAACAAAAAAAAAAAAAAAAAAAAAAACAAACAAAAAACAAATATATATATATATATATATATATTCATTAGTATCGAAAGTAAATTTTAAACAAGAGAAAAAATTTGGAAACGAAAATAATACCGGAAGTAAGATTTATATAACGGTGTATGGATCATATATGGGTCATATGGGTCACATATGGTGGACGACGAAAAAAGAAAATGAAGGTAAAATATATATAAAATATATATGTAATATATGATGATAAGAAAAAGAGCATAAATGCTCTTTTTCATCGGTAATTCTTGCGTAAGGTTATTTCATTTCTAAGATCCATATTTATAGGAAGTTGGTACATTTTTCTTTTTTATATGATTTGTATATTTATTTATGTATTATATTTTATTTTTTATGTTTAAAATGACCAACGAATATCATTTCATTTTTTCACTTAAGAACCTTTCAAAAAAAAAAAAAACAAAAAAAATGTATGAATTGTGAGAAAAAAGGTAGATCATTAAATCATTATCTTCATTATCGTTATTATAACGGCTGGTCTTCGAATGGCATGTAAGAATTACCGTGTATATCAATAAAGTAATATGTAGTATGATTATATAATATGAACAGAATGTTTGTTACTAGGAATACTGTATCAGATATTTAAAAAAATCTTCGCTCTTATGATATCGGTATGATTAGCTAAGCATCAAAATGAATCAAACAAAAATCACAATCAGTAAACTTTTTTAATCGGCTCCGATATCACGAGATCGAGGATTAATATGACATTTTCTTTGACTTATCCCAAAGATATCAAGGATATGCGATATTCATGGATTTATTAATGTAAACGAGTCTCTGGGCATACAATGTCAAAGTTTATTTACGCGATTTGGCAAATTAAATCATAACCGACAACCTTCATAATACCTTGGCTCTCAGTTATCATTGTTAATCGGTGCAATATTTGACAGAAAATAGTTAAGATCGTCATTATACACTTCATAGTGTTTTATAACAAACTTGTGAAATCATTGATTCTTTCTAAAGCAAAAAAACCTCTCTTTTAATATAATTTTATTACCTTTTTTGTCACGGAAAGCTTTTTAATCCATTTTTTGGTATACAAATTTGCCAATAATAATTTGAAATAATAAATAGGTTATCAGGCACTACCTGATAACGGTTTTATCCGACGGCTTACTAATAATTGGGCAGAGGCAATAGTTAACCTATTTTTAAACTTTCGTTTCTATAAGCTGCTGGATAATAATACGTAATATTGCATCAAAGGTAATTTAATTTTGAATAGTCAAATAGATCCCTTAATTTTTGACAATATATGTCTCTTCCATTTTTTACAAAGCACAAATCGTATGATTTATTTTGATTTCTATAGAAAAAAATCTTTAGATATCCGAGTCTCGGAGTTTTTCGTACATACGTACATAGATTGTGTGATCTCTTTAATACATACCATTTATAGGCTATTAATATATCTTCAGGTATACAAGATACATGAATTCAAACTTTAATCCGAAGGCGTTATTTCTGTAGTGTTCCTACGTATAACACAATTTATGCAAATATTATCGCACTGCACGAGGACACCCCTCAGGCTAACATCTGAATTTCAATATTCCCACGAAGATCGCTTGGACCCTCAGTAGTTCCCACGTTGAAGTACTTATTAGTCCCGAGATCCTTTACATATCTAGTTTTAAGCAACCAAAAAAGGTGAGATTTTGATAGACAAAATGAAAGATATTACTTATTATGAAGCTCAAAAATTACCTCATTTTATAAGAATGAATGTCAAAAGTTTTAGGGATTACTTCAAAGTTATACCGTGCAATTCATATTCCTGTTTGATATGTTTGTATATGTTTGTATGGTTTATATGTTCGGGTATCGGTAATAACGATACAGTTATCTGTTATCTTAAGTTGTGGTGCATAAACTGGTTCGAACTGGTTTTTAACCTAGTTTCTAGAATGGGTGTTTCGTGTAACTAGAGCTGGGACCCGTGAATATTCACGGATAAAATGAATATTCAATTAGTATATGAATATTCTGTTACACAAAATCCGTGAACAGTCGAGAATTATTTAAGAATATTCTGTGCAAATAATCTATATACATATCCGTGCAAATATCTGTGTGAATATTCTGTGCGAATATTTTTGTGCGAATATCCGTGTAAATATCTGTGTGAATATTCTGTGCGGATATTTGATAAATATGAGAAACGTAATCACGTGAGATTTTCTGAATATCCGCGAATTCTCTGAATATTCGCGAATTCTATATGAATATCCGTGAATTCTCTGAATATCCGCAAATTATCTATGAATATCTGCGAATTTCCTGAATATTCGTGAATTCTCTATGAATATTCATTTAAAATGTGTATATTTATTCATTATTATTCGCGGATGACTAAAATCCGCGAATATTCATATTCAAAGGATCCCAGCTCTACGTGTAACTTATTACAATTAGATTGGTACGTACTACGTATTAAGTAACTTTATTCGAAATGAAATTAATACGTAACAAGTTTGATTAGTGGAAACGAAAAATAGTTTGCTTCCAAACAGTTTTAAGCAAACCGGTTTCATAAACAGAGTTTCTATGCACTAAAATGATAATATCTACGCATTTCATATCTGATATTGAACTAAATTACTGACTGCCATTAATGAAGTATGTTCTTAAAAGCGTTGTGAATGAGTTTAATTAGTCACATATCGAAAAGTAGTCATAGCGATACGTAGTAATAATGAACAAATCTCATTAACGTTAAGCAGATTGGAGCATATTTGGAGCATATTTGTTCGAGTAATACAAAGAAAATAACCAATCAGAATAAAACCTAGTACTGTATAACAATCGATAATCAAATAGTCAATAGATTAGATAATAAAAAATTTTTTACTTTTACAAATGGCCTCGAAAGTTTTAAAATTTTCTGGTCATAATTACTTTAGACAAAGATTGATTCTCGCTACTTTAAGTGGGAAGACTGTTAAAATCGATAAAATTCGTTCGAACGATAGTGATCCTGGATTAAAGGGTAAATTTCTTTTAAATAAATGAATAAATAAATGAATAAATAAATGAATAAATATACATATATATATATAACGAAACATTCTATTCATGAGCTTTGTAATATTGGGAATCCAGATTTTGAAGCAAGTTTTTTAAGATTGTTGGATAAAGTTACAAATGGTTCAATATTAGAGATTAATTATTCAGGTTGGATCATATAAAAAGTTTTTTTTTTTTTTTTTTTTTATTTGAAGATATTATTTGAAAACGATTTAAAATTTGAATTTCTGTTAATCCAGGTACAAGCGTGTTATTTAAGCCTGGTGTAATTACAGGCGGAACAATAAGTCATGATTGTGGTACAGCTCGCGCAATTGGATATTTTTTGGAACCGATAATTGCATTAGCACCTTTTTCAAAGGATCCATTTAATCTTACATTCTTTGGAATAACAAATGATAATGTGGACACATCGGTTTGTCTTTTTTCAAATTTTACAATTCTTATTAGAATGACTAAATCTTACTCACGTTTTCGTTTTGTATAGGTGGATATTGTGCGAACTGCTGTTATGTTACAGCTTAGAAGGTTTGGTATAGAAGAAGGTTTAGAATTAAAGGTAGATTTTTTTTTTTATATAAATCATTTTGAACCTTTATTACAATCGCAAATAATCTATTATCGCCATTTATAAAATTCTCAAGTAATTCATTATTCAATTCCCAAGTAGATTTCTAAACGTGGTGCTCCACCTCTTGGTGGTGGTGAAGTCAATTTTAGATGTCCAGTCGTGAAAGCTCTTAAACCAATACAGTTCATTGATGAAGGTCGGATAAAACGTATTCGTGGTATCGCGTAATGTATTTTCCCATATTTATTTCGTTTCTCTTCTCCCTTTTTTTTATTAAATTTGTCGCTCAATTTTAGATGTTGCACGCGTGTATCTCCTCAAAATGCTAACAGGATGGTAGATGCTGCAAGATCAGTACTGAACAGATACATTCCCGATATATACATATATACAGATGTATATAAGGGTGAGGAGTCCGGAAAGTAAGTAATAAATAAATAAATATCTATAAAATGAATTTTTTGATATATAAAACTATATAAAATGAACTATAAAGTCAATTTATATTTGTAACAGATCTCCAGGATTTGCGCTTTCTTTGGTTGCCGAATCAACAACAAGCGCTCTTATAACTGCTGAACAAGCTGCAAATCCAGGCGAAACACCAGAAGATGTTGGCAAACGAACGGCAAAACTTTTACTTTCTGAAATACGAAAAGGTGGTTGCATTGGTTCACCGAATCAATGGTTGGTGCTTTTATTGATGGTCCTGAGCTCAGAAGATGTATCGAAAATTAAATTAGGACAGTTGACGGCTTTTACGTAAGTTGATCACACCATATAAAATATCGCATTAAAGCAATTTATTGAATTATTATTATTTTTTATTTTATTTTATTTGTAACCAAAAAGAATACAATATCTTCGAGATATTCGAAATTTCTTTGACGTTACGTTCAAAATAAAGCAGGACACTAAATCAAATACGTTACTATTGACATGTGTTGGTGTTGGTTACATCAATTATAACAAAAAAACCACCTAGGCTGTATATATACTTTTTCCTATTCACGTTAGAAAAATGCATCGCCTTTATTAATTAATAAAATCATAAGAATGATCATTGATCTACTTCTTTAGTTTCAAGGCCTGGATAAAATATATATTTAAATAAATGATTCCATAAAAATGTATTAATAAAATTCATATAAATCATAATGATTACCTTTAAATGATATTGTAGGTACATAAGTAACATGAGTATATAATTTTTCCTTGGCATCTTCTTCGTCATTACGACGACGTGAAAGACGAAGACGCATACGATGAGGAACACTCTTAATGCCTTGTTTCCAAATCTCTTTATTCAATAGAGGATCGAGGCGAACATCTTTAGTACCCATGTGTTTGAAAGTAAAAGCTTTAATAGCTTTTACAGCTTGTGGTGCACGTGCCTTGAAACTCCTATTTATAATTTATATTTTAACGTTTATTGTCCTCATGAACTCATCATGAAAATTATCCAATGCTTAATTTGATAATAAAAATTGTGTTAATGTTACCTGCCGTGGACGGCTTTGTGCAAATGAATGGTGTAATCTCTCGTCACGACATCAGAGATCGCGCTACGTGTGGCGGTCTTTTTTTTTTTATTGGTCATTTCTGATAATATCAATTTGATTAGTAACTTTTATAAAAGAATTTTGGATGGATGAATAACTTTACTAACCGTAATTTTTGAAATGATTAGAAGAGGAGGAATTAAAAGTTTTTGATCTTGAAACTTTTTTATCCGAGAAAATGCGTAGTACAACATCTATGCATTGTCCAATAAAATAAGCCCGATCTTTTTTTGTATTTAAAAATTTTACTGATAAGATTTTTAGTAAAATGTTGACAGAACTTGTGCTCGCAACTTCGCTTTCAGATTCAAACATACAAGTTTGGGATTTCAGAACCGGAACTTTGTTAACTTCTTTCAAACAAAATAAATGTTATCAGCATGGCTTGGCTTTAATTCCATTTCCAGGACAACCTAATAGAGTTGGTTTAGTTATAGCCGCACAAACTGATAAAGCTTTATTACATGTATATTCGTGGCAAAAGGTTGGGCAAAAATTGACCGAATAATATCGATGAGTCAAAACGACCAAATTATTTAATAGAAACATATCATATATTCGTTATAGGATCAGCCTTATCTCAAATTTATATGTCCTGAGAAATTAGTTTCGGTGACTATTTCAAATCAAGGCGCGTATTGTGCTTGTGGTACCGATAATGGAAAAATTTACATTTGGGAGGTAAATAAAGAGATGAAATATGGGGGCTTTTCAATAGAAAGGGGGGAGATTTCTTCTAAGTAAAAGTTTTTTAAACTTTAAATTAAAATATCTTAATAACTATTAAATTAAATTTAATAAATTTTTTTTTTATTTTAATTCTATAAAATTATAAAATTAAAAAAAAAAATTTTATTAAATTTAATTTAGTAGTTATTGAGATATTTTAATTTAAAATTTAAAAAAAAGGCACTAAAAAACTTTTTTCTCCTTTTCTATTGAAAAGTGCCCATATTATGATATTCTGTTATTTAATTATTTAATATTTAAATTTTATATAAATTTGAAGCTTTCAACCGGAATATTATGTCGTGTATATGATGCTCATTATAAAAAAATTAGTGTCCTCAAATTTACAAATGACGATACTGCATTGATATCAGGCAGTGAAGATTCTGGAGTAAATGTCTGGTTGATATGCAGGTTGTAATTATTATAAATATGCCAATATTACTAATTCATGGTTTATTATATAAAAATAGACATGTTTTTTTTGTTACTTATTGTAAAAACTTTACAACAGTATTTTAAATGATTTAACAGATGAATCTCCATCTCCATTTTATTCATGGTCAGAACATTCATTACCAATAACTGATATAATATGTGGGATTGGTAGCTTTCGTACAGCGAGAGTATTGACTTCGTCGTTGGACCATACTTGTAAAGTGTGTGTTAACTTGATAAATAAACCTGTTCAATTGTTTATAAAATATTCATTATGAAATTTTCATGATTAGCTATGGGACCTGTCGTCCGGACATCTTCTAACAACCTTCCTATTTCCCACCGCTATAACTGCTATTGCGCTTGACCCTGCTGAAAGAATGTTTTTTGCTGGTGGTAGGGATAATCTTATTTATCAGGTAAATCTGTACCGAAAATTTGAGAATAGAACTTATAATGCAAGTGGACAGCTTGGATTTGAGATATCAGCAGTAGGAGTTGGTGTTGTTGAAGATGTTGTATCTGAACGTGATGATAAGAGAAACCTAATATTTAGAGGACATAGGTGAGTCTTTAAATGATATTTGTTCATGAATTTGTTGTGTGAATTCATTCATAATTTATAATTTTCTTTATGTCAGCATGTCAATTACGACCCTTTCACTTTCATATGATACTACGCTTCTCCTATCAGGCTCTGAAGATGAAACAGTGAAAGTATGGGATATTGCCAGTGGACAAATGATTAAAAATTTTACACATCTCAAAGGTATAACTCTACAAGTGTATCGCGTTGTTCAGTTTTCAATTGTGACTTTAATATATTATTTAATGAAGGTCCAATCGCAAACATACAAACTTTTATAAAGCCACCTGATTTTTTCAATTTCGGTTTGTCACCGACTAAAATTATGATACAACCAATACCGCCTTTTAAGAGAACGCAAGGGAAATCGATCAAAGAAGATTCTGAAATTGAAGAATCTGTAATAATGGTTTTAAATGATAATAAAAAGGTATATACAATTCTGAACTTTTTTCTAATTTGAATCATTAACAAAACTTTTAAGATTCATGATTTGTCTTGTAGGAAATTGATTTATATAATTACAATTACATCAATCAAGGTAATAGTGTTTTAATTCATTTACGTTCGAGTAATTTATTTGATGTCATAAACATTCCTATTATTATTTT